CACGAAAATTAATTTCAGGTATAAATTGTTGATTTTTTTCTTTATTTTATTTTATTTTATTTTTAATAACTTTTGATTTTCAAAAAAGGTCCATTAATAAAAGCAGTTTTTGGAGAAGTTGTTTTATCAGATATTCATGCTTCAATGAATAATATTGATAAACTTCGTAATATTGTAATGAAAGAACAGAAATTATTACATCCACATGGACAGGGAATTATGGGAGTGGTTCATGCTTTTAATCAAAATGAAGCAAATTTACGTGATTATATTCAAAGAATTAGTAAGTATTAATAAAAAAAGTTTAATAAATTTATTTTAAAGATAATAATACAATTATCATTATTTTTTAGTATTTACAGATAGTGGAAATGTTATTATTTTATGTATGATTAAATTACAAGCTATTCATATGTCGAAATTTAAATATTTTATGGTAGATATGTCCTATAAACGTGTATTTGGAGAAATGAATGAATTTGAGTTTAATGCTTATGATGAAGATAATCATAGTAGTAAGTAGTTAAGATTCTCAAACTTTGATTTTAATTATAACATAAATTAATTTTTTTTTTTTATTTAGTTGTAACATTTTGTAGAATTTTTACAAATGGAAGTGATTCTAAAATTTATCAATGCATGTTTACAACTTTCTTTGAAGTTTATGAAGATTTAACAGGAGAAAAGCCATCTTTTTATCATTTTAATTCAGAAAAAAAAGGATGGGCTGCTATAATTGTAGATCTTGACAAAGGTCAAGCTAAAGGATTGTCTTTAGCTTTAAATTCTTTATGTAATTCTATAAGTGCTGAGCAACATTTACTTTATATTTTAAAGTCTTGTTCAGTTCATTTTGAAAGGTAAAAATGAAGTTTTTTGATTATTTACAAATAAATTGCTAATAATTATTTTATTTATATTAATATAGAAATGTAAGAAATTCTAAATATTCAGATGAAAGCAAATTTTTAATGCGTCAGCTTCTAAAAGCCAAAACTAAAGATGATGTAGATTTTATATTTGAGCAGTTAGAAACTATTGGTGATGAGAAAATACATGGTAAATAGGTTAATTTTATTAGAATTTGTATTATTTATATTGTTATTAACGTGATTGCTAATAAATAGATTGGATAACTGAATACCAAACACCATGGATATTAGCATCATTGAATCATAATTATTCTTTGATGGATTATGATATTTGGATGACTACCCCTTTTGATACTAATGTATCTGAATGTTCACACGCGAATGTAAATAGAGAAGGGACGCGATTGAGATTAAAAACTGCAATATTTCAGTAAGCTATTCTAATTATATAATTATTTAATATATTTTATAATTATTAACAAAGTTATTTTTTAGTTCATGGAACTATGATCTAACATTGTATAGGCGGTTTCATAATTACCAGAAATATAATATTCCTATGTCAAGCAAGAATAAAAGTGGTACAAAACGAAAAATAGATGCTAATAAGCGAAAAGGTAATTAATAATTTATTTATTTATTAAATTTAATTCTTATTACTTATCTATTATTATTTATCTTTAGAAAAACGAAAGAATATCCAAATTCAAAAATTACCAAACAAAAGGCAGAAAGTGAGTGTTAAGGAAAATGACTCAGAATTTCAAAAAAGAATTCAGGAGTTGGAATATGAAGAACGTAAGGAAGAACTAGAAAGAAAAAGATTGGATAACCAATTGAAGAAATTGGAAATTGCACAGAAGGAAAAGGAGTTAAAGGAGTTAAATGAATAAGTATTATATAATGAACTTATTTTAAGTTATAGCTTTTAATTGTTATGTGCCTAAACTAAATAAAATATAAGCTGTGACGTTAATTACTGATAATTAAAAAATTATTTTAAAGAGACGTATAGGTTGTTTATTAGAATTAACAATATTTATATAACTATGATCGCTTTTTTATTATTTTACACAGGTTGTACATCCTGTAAGGATGTTAGTAGATAAAACATAAAACAATTCGTCTTTTACCAATCACTAAAATTAAAAAAAAGTAGAAAACAATAATCTGTCTAACATTTTTTATAGAAATTCGCCCTTTTTATTTCATTTGTATTCTTTTTTTTTTATAACATGTATTTTAGAAGAGTTTAATTACAAAAAAGAAAATTGCAATTTTTTCTTTTATATGTACAGTTGTTTATGTTTTATTAATTTCGTGTTTCATACGTTATATTGTAATATGGTAAAAATAAAACTTAATATATAAGCTCTTCAGGAATGTAAAAATGAAGTAGTGTAGTACTGTAGTTCAACGGTGTAATAATATTTCACTTAAAAAATAATTTAAAGTTCGTCAAATATATTGAGAATACATGTGAGTACACGTGAGTACATGAGTACAAGATATTCAATTCACGTACTCGTACTCACAGCTGCGTTGTAGTCGTAATAATTAACTATATAATCCCTACGTGTATATAATATGACCGATCCGATCAATCAAAAAGCTCAATCGTAGCTACAATCTGATTGGTTATACATTTTTGATCCGATCTAGAGATCTAGAATTGCACAAGGCTGATCTGGATGGTCGGATCAATATACTGTACTGTATACATAATTTGATAATGTAAAACACATCGATTATTCGATTATGCAGCAAATACTGGACAACTTCATTTCAATAATTTTAATAACGAGTATACGCGTCATAATACTTGACCTCTATATTAAACGGATTTAAATTCTGTTGTCCGTTTTCTTACAAAGCGAGCTTTGATTGTATCACATGAAAGAAAAAATTTTTATTGGCAAGTCATTCACAGCTCTTGTTTTACAAATCCAAAGGAATGATGTGTAACATAAGTATGTACCACAGTGCACCAATATGATAATCCAACCGAAAGATCATAATGATTTGTACCAAAAATCATCCCAATGCGGGCAGGTATTTAATTATTTTAGGTAAATCGCGTATATGCAATTATGCATGCATGGACCTGCATGGCAATTTTGTTTAAATAGGTAATTAAATCCAAATCTTAATTTTTTTTTCATCCAACTTTAATGGCTTCGTCTTCGTCTTCGACTTTACAAGCATTTTTATCCTGGGCCAAAGGTATTATTATCTATGTATGTATTATTTTTCATCGTTATATTATTAACTCAACATTTTAATAGATAATGGAGTTGTTTCAAATATAAAAGTACAAGAGATACCAGATAAAGGACTAGGATTTGTCACAAAACAAAATGTTCTTCGAGACAACTCAATAATAGCCTTTATACCGTTCAATATATTACTTAACGCGACAAAAATATATAAATATGCAAAAGAGAAAGCACCAAAATTGGAAGAAACTTTTAATGCGTTAATCGCAGAAGGAAAGCCTTTACCAGAACGCGTTATATTTATACTTTTTTTATTATATGAAAGAATGAGTAAAGTTACGTCAGGAGGGGAAGTACCATCACTATGGAAAGCATATATTGATATCTTACCTCGTACACTTCATACACCATTATTTTATGATCAAATATTGAGAGCATGTCTTGATGGTACAAGTTTAAAACCAGCAGTAGATGCAAAGTTTAATAAATTAAAAAAAGAATATGAATCATTTAGGCCATTATTTAATAAATGGTCAAATATAGAAGAAAATGGCGGACATGATGTTGTCACGTTTGAGCACTTTAGATGGGCAGACGGAGTATTTTGGTCAAGAGTATTATCATTTGGCAGTAGATTTCAAACAATTAATTCTCCTATTGGGGATGAATCAGATGATTTTCATTTAGTACCATTTCTCGATTTTGCTAATCATTCTTTAACTCCTCATGCAAGGTGGGAAATTGGACCTGAAGGGGTTGAATTAATTCTTACCAGATCTGATTCACCTGAACAAATAACTCCTGATACTGAAATTTGTATTTCTTATGGTGATAAACCAAATTCTGAATTATTATTTGTACATGGATTTACTTTATCTGACAATCCGTCATCTGCGATTTCATTTCCCGTTCCGTTCTATGATGATGACGAATTGGCAAAAGCAAAATTATCATTTATGCAATATCATGGTATCAAACTTTTAGTTTCTCTTACTAGAAAAAAAGGAGGAGCGGAGTTATCGCATGATTCAACCAGAGCAATGTGGATATGTGTATTAACAGAAGAAGATGGAATTAAATTTAAAATGAATCCAAATAATCCATCTCATCCTGTTGATTTATTTATTGGGAATCAAATAATTCCAACACTTGACGTTTTAGATAATGTTATTAATAGTATGGAATTATTACCTGTAATTGAATATAAAGTTACAGAAACAGTATTAGAAAATGTTGATAATTTATTATCTCATCTTAAACAAACAAACGAACAAGTATTAAAAATGATGGAACATGGAAAAATTTCACGTGAATTAGAATATATTAGAATATATAGAGAAGATGAATTTAAATTTTTGGAATTTGCTGTTGAAGATTTTACGAGAAAACGTGACGCTTTAAAGGCTGACGAAGTTGTTCAACGTTTTATGCTTAATGACAACGAGTAAATTATTAAATAAAGTTTGTTAAAAAAATATTTCTTTTTTTTATACACAGAATTTTTTTTTAATCACAATTCTATTTCTTAATATAAATTTTTGTTCCTTTTGCAAGAACGTTAATTTGATTTATCTGATTTATTGTAATTCTATTAATAATAAAGAAAATATATTATTGATCACGATACGCTATCAATTTATCGACAGATTGTTGTTTTGAAAACGTAAAGTATCTTACCTTTAATGTTCGTTTGATAATCTGGACCGAAGAATACAACAGTCACTGTGATGTCATCACGAAATCTTCTTGAAATGGGAGATGGAAGAGATAATAAAGCACATAAAAGATCTTGTTTCGCTCCCCCAAGTGCATTACGGATTAAATGTGTAGAAGCATTTTCATCAACAAAAGTAAAAACTTTTTCTTGCATATTATTTTCATATTTTAATTCGTCTTCAGAAAAATTATTTTTTTCTTCGTTAATCATTTCCCGTTTACCTTCTAATAATTTTCCAACAAGTTCAATAACTTCTTCATTTGATAATTCGTCCCACAGTCCATCTGATGCTATTACCAAAAATTTATCATTCTCTGTTAATTTATGATATGTTACTTCAGGTCTTGCTGTAAGATAAGGTGGAGTTTTATTACGACTTCCACCAGGAAGTCCTCTTCTTATTTTAAAAAATTTGGTGAATACGGCTTCCTGCATTTTCATATTCCATTTGTATTTTGAATCACCAAATGATCTTGTCGGTTCCAATCCACCAAATATTCGACCATTTATTATAATATTCCCCTCTTCCCCCGGATGCTCTTTATTTAATCTTTTAACTTCCTTTTCACTTCTTCCAGTTTGATCTTCACTTAAAGCAACAGCTTTCCATTTTTTCCCTCCTTTTTCATCATCATCTTTTACACCAAGCACAGCCCTTGAATCTCCTGTACACGCAATATATAAACCTTTGTCAGTAGTGTCAATATAAGCCAAAATTGCGCAACTTCCTGCGAATGCTGACAATAAGTTTTCATCTATGTAATTTAGTCCTTCATCTGGTTTTGGTGAAATATTTAATAACCTATTTGTAGAATAAATCAAGATATCATCATCTACTTCTACAAATGCTTTTTCTATCGCTTTTTTAGTTAATTCTTGCTTATTCGATATTAAATTTGAATATTCTCCATATCCTTCAATAGCTTTATCTAAATGTTTTATTACTCTGGGTATTAATTTTTCACTTAATAATTTAGATGTATTCCATCCTGAATGTCCATCATATATGCCAAAAAATAATCTGTCTCCAAATGCGGATTTTTCTGAATTAGGATATTCAAAGTTAACACTTTTCATATCTTCTATTGGATAATTTGATCCTAATTGATTTGATTCATATTTCCATACTCCGTTATTTCTTTGTAACGAAAATGATACCTGATTTTCTCGTAATTTTGTTGTTGCCTCTCTCGGCGACCTTATAATCGGATTAATTCTCATCCTTTCATCGTCATTATCGTTCAATGATGAGGAATTATATGTTTGTTGCCTTTCTCCTTGAAGATAATAATATAATATTCCTCCTCCTACTCCAGATACACCTACAACTCCTATAACATATCTCATTAAAGTACTCCTATTATTCCTATTATATGCAGCAGTCTCGGCTGTTTTTTGGTATATGTTACGACATAAAGCTTTCGCTCTAAGACCATTAAACGATAATGTCAGAGCTTGTCTTTGCAATAAAAACATAGCCGATTTAGAAGAAGAAAAAATACAGTGGAGAGAAGAAGGTTTCTCGAAGAAAGTTTCAACTGAAAAAGTGATAAAATCATGCTATTTATCGACCAACTTCAAAAATACTACAAATCGACGCTATCCAACAAATCACGTGTGGTTACAGGTGGGCACACCTTTCTTAAAAAATTAAGTATTTAATAATACTAAATTTGATATATTAAATATTTATTACTTAAATAATACAAAATTTTAATCATAAACATCTTCAGTTAATATTGTAGAAATATAAATTGGATGGATCTATCCAAAGAATTAATATCTATTAATATTTATGTACAAATACTGCTAATAAACATTTGGCTTAAATTATACTAATAAGCTTATTAAAAAAACTTTCTTTAGTTATACCATATAGTATTTTTATAATTACACTAATTTTTTTTGGTCCTAAAGGAGTGACTATATAAGAGTTGACTGTATTTGTTTTTTGTTTTCATTTTTATATGCAAGGCTCCTTTTTTTTCATTTTTTTCTATGTTTATTTCTTTAATATATTGGCACCCTTGTACTGAATAAATCATTACATTCTCATTGCACAGCAGAGGTAAAGAGTATATTTCTTTACTTTTGTGGTATATAATACCTGTATTGTATAGAACCAAACACTTTAAATTGATTTACTTTAAAATAAAATAAAAAAATTATTATCATATCGACTGATTGGAAAAATCGAACCAATTAATATTTAAGCTCAGTTGTTGGGTTCATTATATAACTGATGGGTTACTTATTGTCATTTAGCATATAAAATTATGGGAGGCTTTTCTGATCAGCCGATATGTACAATGTAATTTTGATTAATTCCAAAAGGTAAAATTTTTTTTTGATTTAGTAGTCTGATTTTAATAATTTTATGAAGGTTATCAATTTAAAAAAAATCAAAATTAGATTACTAGATTGCAAAATAATATTTTTGGAATTCAAATTAAATTTAAGAAAAAGTTTGATTTATGCAAAATATTATGACTATTTTTCATTCATTAAATATTGCTTTTTCCAGTAGTATTTTAAGTAAAGATGTAATAATCTGTTTTTTATATTTCTAATAAACTTTTCTATTATTTAATAGCATAATAACATATTATAATTGCAAATATATGAACTTTTTGCAATAAAAAAGAAAAACCTGCTAAAAAAAAATTTTTTTAGTTAATACTAATTCTAAATAAATTAAATAAATTCAATATTTGAAGTATTTTTAATGTATAAATATAAATTTAATTGTTCTGATAGTTTTTTCTTCTTTTATTATAAAGAGCCTATATGTATAAAGCTAAAATACTAAGTAATGTATTTAATTGAAACCTAATATTATATTAACATATATACAATTGATACTTTTTTAATAATAAGTATCAAAATCTGTTAAAGTATTTAGTTTTTCATCATCTTTTTAAATATTACTGCAGTTAGATATTTGAATATATGAAATTTAATATTTGCATACTTCCTATTACTAATGATATTATTAACCTTTAAACTGGTTTGCAGCCAAATTTGCCTGCAATTTTGTTTTTTAATTAAAGATATTTTTAAATACTTTAAAATATTTTATTATATAAACCAATATTTTTGTAATAAATTCTATAGTATTTTCTAAGTAAAAATTGAAAAAAAAGTTCATGATTTTTTAAAAGTAAATGATCAACAAATAGTAGTAAAATTTTTTAAATTGAAATATCTTTTTATTCATTAATCCTAGAAATATAAAATTACCACCATTTAATGCGTCTTAATAAGAAGAATTTGATAGAAATAAAATTGTTCTTTTACAAATATTATGTGACAGAATAACTGATAAAATCTAAAAATTTATAAATTAATATAACTTTTTATTTATTAATTTTAGAGTTATGATTTTATTACTATTAAATGCGCCTTAATAAGAAGAACCTAACAAATATAATTTCATCTTTCTATAATCACTAGATCTTAAGATATTTTAAAAATTCAAAAATTTTTAAAATTAATTTTAATCCCTACAGTTTAAGGGATATGGTAATTTATACCTGTCTATTACTTGTTTATTATTTGTAAATATTTGTAAATATATGTTGTTTTTCTTAATCTAGTAGAACATAAGAATTGCCTTTATTGGTACTATATAACACATTTGCACCAGTTATATACTTAGGTTTTTTAGCCTTAAAATATATTATATTAATGGGTAATCTAATTTTCTTTTTGATTATTTTAAGCAAAAATGCTATATCAAAATAAAAGAAATAAAGAAAATATGTAAAGTGAAAAAAAGTAAAAGCTATTAAAATATATTAATAAACTATTTCTATTGTACTTGAAGAGTTTACTTATCCATATATTATTATCCTATCTGTCTATTACATATATTAGTAAGCATTTGGTCGATAAATCTAATATTACTACCAAAACTAACTTCTGAAGTAAAAGAGTCATTATTTCTTAAAAATCCAGGATTTTTTATGAATATAATGTAAAAAGTATTTAGAGTTCTATTTTTGTATGCAAAAATATATATTTCTTAATATGTAGTTCAATGACAAAAAGTCACTATGTAAAATTTTCAAACATTTAAAAATGTGGATGCAAAATCAATTGGAAAGAGTTTCTATAATAAATTTACTACATCCTTTAAGTATAAATTTTTTTAAAAAAAACTTTAAATAATGACTTATTTTGTAAAGTGTATTGCAAGTTTACTTCAAGAAAGTATCTATTAACTATTAAAATTATAAAAATGAAGATATCTAAGAAGAAACTTTAGATTTAAATTAAAAACAAGTGGTTATTAAATATAATAATGAGAATACTTTTAAAAAAGTTAGATTGTAATATATAAAGAAGTAAAGTTTTTACATAATGGATTTCTTTTATTGTCAGAATTCAGAAATGTGAATATTTGTAATAAAAAAAAGCTATTAAATTTATAAGTAAAACCAATAATTTTACTGCAATAACAGGAAGGATATATATATTTTTCTATAATCAAAAAAAATTTTTCTACATTAATTATATAGTGGCTAGTTTGAAGAAAATCAATTTATTTTTAAATTACCAAATATAATTAAAATCTCAGAAATCTATTTATAATTAATTCGTGACTCAGTAGGAGGGGAAATTCATTTTGTTGCACTAGATATCCGATCACAAAAATTTCACCCCATTTTTACCATTTTTGGATAGTAATTTTTCACTGATTTATAGCCGGATCTCGAATTAATCAATTTTAGTTTATTATAGCATTGTGAATACATGTTATCAATAATATTAAAAGAATGAGATCGGTTCATTACAAGATCATAAGTAAAAAAGTTGGATAATATCGTTGGTTTACAAGCATAGTAATATAAATATAAAAAAAAATAATTTTTACAAAAATTTATTTAGTATAATTTGAAGAATTATCAGCTAATTTAAATAAACTATACTAAGAACAAAGCAGAGAAATTGATAAAATATGGCCAAAATAGCTATACTTAATTAACAATTTCTAAAAAAAGAATAATAATTTAATAATAATTTGAAGTTTGAATAAACCTAAAAAAAACTTAATAATGAATAATTAATATGAATCTGTAATGATCCTTCTTAAAAAGATGCATAAATTTCGTCATACTGATCTTTGATAAAACGCGCAAAATTAAGCGATCCTTCTTTTGTTTTCAAGTACCCTTCTTCAATAGACTCTTTTGCACTTAAACAACCTCTTTCGATAGATTCTCTTGCATTTAAATACACTCCTTCGATAAACCTATTTGTATTTAAATACCATTCTTCAAAAGATTCCTTTGCATTTAAATACCCTTCTTCAACAAATTCCTCTGCCTTAGTTGTCCAATTTAAAACTTTCTCCCGAATAATCGGTACCCAATAATTAACATAATCCCAGAGGATATCATTAAAAACGCTTAACTGATAACCAAAATAGATAATACTCGCATGTATTCCATTTAATACGTTTGTTCCGAAAACAACCACTTCTTCATATGCATATGTAGAATATGAAACTGCATTTTGACAAGTAATAGCAACTTTATTTTGAAAAAATTCCAAAAGTGTAGACTCCTCCTCATGATTTTTAATATCATTACTCTTTGTTTTATCTTCCTTCGGTACCCAGGTTACGGTTTTTATCAATGATCCATTCTTTTCTTTAATTTCGACCAAAACTTCACCTTTTGAGCCAGTAGTATCAATTTCAAACATGTATCGACCATTGCCAATTTCCTGGACATCATAACGGCCCAAAATTTGCGGTGGGTTATGTGTTACAACAACTTCAAAGTCATTTTTTCGATTGTCAAAATATTGTTTTTTATTCAATACATTAAACATGAATCTATTCGAAGATTCTTGAAATACTTCAATAAGAGGTTGAGTTTCACCATTATCGAGAGGTATTGTTTGAGGCACAATTTTATTTTGGGCTTTTAAAGACGCTCTTGACACAGCTTGAAGAGATGATGCCAAATCAGAAGGAATAACTGACCACTCTGCATAATGCCAGATACCAGTAACAAACAAATAAATTATATAAAGAGCCGCACAGATATAAATAATTTTTTTAGAATTGTCAACTAATTTATCGAAATATCGAGACCGTTTCTTTGCACGTTCTTTATTAAGTCGATCCTTTCTGAATTCAATAGCACGTGAACGTAAAAGTTGTAAATCGTCGTAAATAGCTTGGTTGTCAAAATAATTAAATTCGTTTACGTTCAAAATTTTTTTAGTATATACAGTTTCCACCCATCTATGATCTCTTCTATCTTCAATCATTTGATCGGCTTTCCATGTAAATATTTTAATCCCATTGTCTTCGATCAATTTTACAATTGCTCGACGTTTTTCTTCCCTTTCATTCGTGAAAGTAAGCTCATTACCACTCACGGTAATGATTGGTAACAAAGTAACTTTCTCTTGTAATTTTCTCATTGTAAGTAAAAGTTCATTAGGAAAACGGTCAACATCCTGAGGTACAAAAACAATACATAAATCAACCAAATTGTCTAGATCATTCTCTGCAAATGTCTTCTGCAAGTATTCTGATGCCCTAGAGAAATATCCATCAGATCTATCCGTGAGATCAGCCTCATAAATTGCGACTCCTGAGTCCGGGAAGTATTCGACTTGAGGTCTACCATCTTCAGGAAGCTTTACTGGACATATAACAAGTCTCCTTTCTAAACCAATATCATTTGTTGGCATAACACCATCTGCTTCATCCCAAAAAATTTGCGACATACTTTCGCTTATTTTGGAGAAAATTCTATGTTTACATGGATTAGAAACATTTTGTCCAATATACATGACGCGGAAATTAGCAGGAAAACTGGCAAGACGTTGAGAAGGTGTATCATCTTCGTTATCATTAATCTCAACTTCATCATCCGAATCTGAACCTGATTCTTCTCCTATGTAATATGAAAGTTGCAAAATAATATCCACAAATGAAGAGTGAAGGAGAAAATACAAAAAGAAATGATTCACAATACTAGTAAATTACAAAAAAAGAATAAATAAATAAATTACCAAGTGATTCATTTGCAAAATCAGCAAAATCTTCAATATCTTCGTTTTCTCTTGCTGGAATTTCAGGAATAGCATTGTTAGCATTAGAATCAATTGGTATTCTGTTAGAATCCTCAATAATTTCAAAATCCAAATCTTGTGAATTTGAATCTGAAGCATTGCGCAATGGTTCCTGATGTCTAGGAATCTGAAAAGAATCGAGTGAGGTTGCTTGGCTAGGTGCCATAATGGAAGCTGTTATTGATTCTCCTTCCATTAAAGCAAATTGTTCTTGGACTTTGATTTAGAGCGAAACGAATGATTATGAATTCACGTGAATTGTGATAAATTGGAATCTTGAAGTGCTGTTAAAAAGAAAAAAAGATAAATGGTTCGAGATTTGCAAAGTAGAAACCAAGTAATAAGCAGGTTAAAAAGAAAAATATAATAAATAATATTTTCAGCAAAATCGAACAAAAAAAAATCACAAAACATTGTAAGTTGAGTAATTCCCAATGACGTTCAGTTTAATTCCGAACTACTATCATGTTATTAACTTTTGAAGTGTTCTGGGACACTTAGAATTTACTAACTATTCTTTGTTTTAAGCAAAGCTTAGTTTATATTTATACTACTTCGCCACTCACATTCTCTTTGTTCACAATTCGACACAAAAAAAGAAAAAAATTTTGAAAAAGCGTAGAAGTGATGAGGAAACTTTATTATAAACTTTGTTCTTTATTCACTTTTAAACAAAAGTTTAATGAAAAAAAAATTTTTTTATTACTTTTATTCAAGTTAGGTCCTTTATCTTGTTCACTTTACACATACAATAAGAAAAAAAAAAGCGGGAAAATGTAAAATGACACAGATGAGAACCTGGAAATAAAGTCCGAACTTTTTATAGGTGATTTGATTTGCAGCAGATCATTAGCGCAGAAGCGTCTCACAATGAGATTGAGCACTGATAAGATGAATAACGTAATCCAAACTTCATCTGACCTTAAAAGGTAAACACGTGCAAATTTTCCCGTGAAATTACTCATTAATATATCATTCAAGTATTTGTTTAAAAGCTCTTATAATTTATTATAAAAAAGCAATAAAAAAAAGAATAAGATATAACATTCATGTTACTCATATTACTAAAATTTAAAATTTAAAATTTGAATTTTTGTAAATATTCATTTTAAAAAAAAAAATTATTTATAATAAATTTTATTTATATTACTTCTCAATTATTGTCTATTTTGTCTATTTATAATTACTACTTTAAGTAAACCAAAAATTGGTAATATAATCAACTTTCTTAGTCATACATTTGAAATAGTTTATATTAGATGACTATAAAGAAATATTATTATATATGAAAAATTTTATCTTTTAATAATATATTTATGATAAATATAACTATTATTTACTTTTTCAGAATGTATATTCTGCAATTATATAGTATTAAAAGTTTTAATTAATATAAAGTAATCTTTAATTGATTTTTACTGTAAAAATTCAGTATATTTTGAGTATTATGTATAGAATTACTTTATTAATTGCTTTTTTTAATAAAATTTTTGGAGTGACTATTCTTTATTATCAGTATTATTTTCTTCAAATATTTCTTTATTTTGTGTAAATTTTATAATTTATCTATTATCTAAATAATTTGTTAAATTATTAGGTACTTATTAATAAAAATAGTTGAAAATATATTAGGAATTCATTAACAAGTATGTTTAATTCTTCTAATAGTTATATATATATATAATTTGCTATTTTACATTTTTAAAATTTCAAATATATAATTAATTAATATTTATGATTTCTTAAAAATATAATAATTATAAATAAAATAACCAAAAATTTAAATATTTCCAATTTTAGTTTTATTTTAGTTTTTTTTTAATTAATCAAAATTGTTTTTATATATAACTTACCATTTAATAATCATAGAAAATAATATATATTATAGTTTATTGGAGTCCTTTTAATGGCTTTTATTGAGAGCTTTTGAATAATACCAAATTTTTTTTTTTAATATCAATAAATGCAAATTGCTGTAAAAATTATTTCACCATTTATTAATACTAAAATAATGATTTTAACACTATTTGAAAGTTCTTAATAAAAGAATTTCAATTATTTTTTTATAATTACTGAATAGCAAGTTATCACATAAAACATAAAAATGATTCTAATAAATTAGAAAATTAATCTAAAATCTGGATTGAACTGAGTTTTAAAAATAATAATTAGATGTAAATTTACTTTTACCTATATATTAATATAAATCCTATTCAAATTGTTTAATTAAATAATAAATATATAATTATTTGTATTTATCCAATTTATATAAAAAATATATGTAATTTTGAAATATTTTTTTCTTAATCATCCTTCTGAAATTATAAAAACTGTTATATCTAAGAGCAATTATTTTACATATATTTTACTTATATAAAAAAACTGGCTAATATATATAAAGTTTAGTTATTAGATAACAGATAGTTTATAAATTAATTATATTAGCATAGTTTAGTTTCTTTTTACTATATACTTAAATACTATTTTATTATATTAATAAATGTGATTTATGTGATTAAAAATAAATAAATGAATTATTTTGATAATATAGTATTATTTACTAATTATTCTTTTTTATAAAATAGTATAATTATAAATTATCTATAAAATCTATAAGCTAAAAATAGGTTAATTAAGTATGTAATTTGTAATAAATAAGTGGTTTACTAATAAAGTTAATTAATAAAATAGAAAATGTATTTAATTATTATTTTAATAAATTTATATATTCTATAAATTACAAAAAAAAAATATTTATCTTATTTAATAATTACAATTTTTTCTTAATAACCCATAAAGTACTATTATTACATTAATATAATATATATTTATATTATATTGTACAAAAAATTTATATTAAAACATCAAAAAATATTAAATAATAGTAATTTCATAATAAATGGATAAAAAGCCATTAATATTTTATATTTTGATATCTTTTTTTTTTAAAAAAAAAATTAGCAACACATTTTATTTATTATGTTGATTCGAATATTTTGTGTTATTTATTTTAAAAATATATATAAAAATTACTTGTACTTATATGTTAATTTATTTAATAAAAGAGATGCGCGTTACTAACAAAAAAAAAACTTACTAAATTGATATTCAAAATTCAATATTTTTAAATTAAAGCTATTAAATATTATATTAATAAATTACATTAAATGGATATCTTATAATTATATTACCTGTAAATAAAAATATTAAATATTAATTTATATAATTTTGTACAGCAAGCTTTATATATAGTAAGTAACTAATTTGGAAATAAATCAAGATGATTTGCGTTGCAATGAATGATTACTAAAGCCAAATTAAAGTTCTCAAGAATTAGCGGTCGGATATTATTAAAAATTTAAAAATTAGCATAAAATAACGATAAGTTTCGCATACATATACTTTAATTGAGTTGTGTTACCGTAAAAACAACGGAAAATTTTGTTATACTGTAATGTAAATATTTATATGAGCCACTTTGCATGAGCCAATTATGTATTGAGTGGCTTGTTAATCAATTTTAAAAACTCCGATTATTTAAAGTCCTTCTTGCAACGCAAACTTTTGAGATCAATTTAAAGTATTTATTTCGATGAAATATTTTATACTATAATATTTTAATGATGGCCGAAAATCAAAATACTTATAGTTCAGGTAGTGACGGAAATGATACACGTAATCCTCGTCCGAATTTACCAAGAACTAGGTCTGTTGTTGGGCCAAGACCACTTCCCAGCGGACCCAATAATTATACAAAGGATTCAAGAGATGGTTCTTACCAACATCAAAAACAACATAGTACTAGCAGTATTCCGGAATATTATTCTGTTTCGTCTCAAAACTCGAATCCACAAAATTTTATATCACCTGAACAGTCTATTGTTGATACAACTGATCAGCCTTTTCCACCTTTAGTTTCACCTAAACCACAAAAACCAATGCCTACTGTAACAAGTGATATTGCAAATGCTTTAGAGACACAATGTCCGGAAAGTTTAAAAGGATATGATGTACAACCTTCTGATACCCCCAAAAGTTGGTATAAAGGTGATGATGAAAAGTTGAATTTAGCTTCTGATCAAGATCATAATTCTCCACTTCAAAGTAACGCAGAGTCGCAATCAAATATTATGGAAGAAATTCAGAATCAAAAAAATGGACAAATTTATCAGATACAACCTTTTCATGATAACCTGATTAATTCGAATGATCATAAATTTCAAAACGCGAATGATCAATCATACCAATATTCTAACAGTTCGCAACAGCAACAACAACAACAGATGTATTATCAAAATTTTTCATCACAACATCATCAAAATTACAACAATTTTCAACAACAATTTCAAAACGAAAAATATCAAGCGATACCTTCTAATGTCAATTTTCAAAGTGAGAAACTTTTATAAATTTTGCTCGGAATAAAATTTGATGTAAAAAATTTATATAATTTGTTTAATATTTACAGATACCCATCCAATTCAACAACAAAGTCCTCACTCGAGTCCGCCCTCTTCCATACATTCTACACCCAGACAATCTTTAACGCAGGGTGTAAATTCTTTTCAACAAAGTAAATATCAAGCTCGTAATTCACAGGAAATAGTACAAGGACAATACATGCAAAAGCAACAAACTAATTATCAAATGGCTCAAAATTACGGAATTTCTTCGCCAATATCCATTTCAGGTACTGGATATGGACCTGGACTTCTATATGATAAAAACAATCAAGCCGGTTCTGATTCATCTCATCAAATGAATAAGGCATCATCACAAATTTCCACATCTCCTAAGCCGTATCCATCAGATCCAAGTCAAATGTCATATAATGATCATTCATCACCCAGATCGTCAATTCAATATCATCATCAAAGTTCTCAACGTTCATCACCGCCTGCTGGCTTTCCTCGTCAACCATCTCCTGGTATTACAATTGGGCCAGATGGGACTCCTATACCGTCTTCTTTATCAGGAGCAAATCGAGGCAATTGGGGTCAAAGGACTCCTACGCCAGAACGAAGACCTCAGCCAAATACAAATATACGTCTTTTAATAGACGACAAAATAGCTAGACGAATGACAATGACTTCTGTTACTCTTGCGAATGATGAAAAGGCATTGCAAAAATATCGGGATGCTGCTAAAAAAACTAATGACCCAAATGTTCAAGTTGATTATGCTAAATTTCTTATTAATATGATAGAATGTCAGGATACATCTTACGGGAATAAAAACACAGAACAAGAAAAATATAATAAATTGGTTGAAGAAGCATCTTATTGGATTAATTTATTGGCGAAGAAAGATAATGCTGAAGCTATGTATATAAAGGGTACCTGGTATGAATATGGTAAATTTGGCAAGGAGATTAAACTTGATAAAGCTTTTAGATTATATTTATCTTCTTCTAAACATGATAATTCAAAAGCAATTTATAAAGTTGCTGAACACTATGAAAAGAATAAAGATACTAGGCGAGCATTACAATTCTATAAGAAGGCTGCTTCACAAGGAGATGTATCTGCTTTATACGTAAGTTTACGTACTTCTGTTATCGATTATTTTTGTTGTTGTGCTAATCTAATATATTTATAGCGACTTTCTCTAGTTTATTTGCTCGGTGAATTAAAAACGGAACCTGAATATAGTCAAGCTTTGATATATTTGAAATCAGCTGCAGCAAAAGCAAATGAGGAATGTCCCGATGGTGCTTATGTATATGGAATGATATTAGCTAAAGAGTGGGATGTTTTAATACCAGATCAAGTTGTCGCACCAGATGATCGGGAAGCTAAGGAGTACATTCAAAAAGCTGCTAATTTAGGTCACATTAAGGCATTGTACAAAATGGGTCATTGTTATGAGTATGCTAATTTAGGATGTCAATTTGATCCAATATTTTCTGTTTCATATTATAAACGAGCAGCAGAAAAGGGTGATGCTGAAGCAGATATGGCATTAAGTAAATGGTATTTATGTGGCGCTGAAGGTTACTTTGATCAAAATGAAGCATTAGCATACGAACATGCTGAGAGAGCTGCAAATAAAGGTTTAGCTGCAGCAGAATTTGCTATGGGTTATTTCCATGAAGTTGGAATTCACGTACCTGTTAATTTCACGCAAGCTAACATTTGGTACATGAAGGTAAGAAAATAAATTATTGAATCTATTTATAGCCTGTACGGATCGAAAAAAATGAATACTTAACATCGGCCCGGTTTTAAAATAATTTTTTCGGGCCGGTATAAGTTTTTAGCACACGTTCATCTCCTATTTCCAGTTTCTTTTTTCGTTTCTTAATTAATTTTTTATATTAATTAGGCGGCTGAAAACGGAAATGAGGACGCAAAACAAAGATTAGCTAGTGGTAGTACAATTACGCGGCGGGATCATGAACAGAATCAAAATAAACTAAAGAACGAACGTAATGAAAAAGATGATAAGGACTGTATCATACAATAATTTTCTGGACAAAAAAAATGGAACATTTTATATTATTAATTTATTGAAATTTATTATCATTGTTTTTTTTGGAAGGTTTTTATTATTGACACTTTCATATTTTAATTAATTATTTTTTGTTAATATTATATTTATGGAAAATGTAAATTATTTATTTATTCTATACCTCATAAAGAAATTGTTCATTAAAATTCTGCAATTGCAACATGTGATTGATGTGAAACGGTATCTTATACACATCTAGATGTGTATAAGAGACAGATTCTATACCTCATAAAGAAATTGTTCATTAAAATTCTGCAATTGCAACATGTGATTGATGTGAAACGGTAATACTAAGTTTACCTATCAAATCGAGTCATGTGTATTCAGAGCCCGAAGAAATTTTTTTTTTTTGATCAAAATTTGTATTTTAGATATTTATAAAATTTTCTATTATTCAACGAAGATTAAAACAATGCTCCTCTCTGCTGCACGAGAAAATACCGGTAACGTTAAAAATTATGTTAAACCACCACCAAAACCTGATGATGAAGGCTATAAAGCAGCTTTAGAAGATATTCAAAATAAACTTGTAAGTTATTTATCTGTTCTTAAAAGTATTTTAGTTTTCGGTTTACTGATGTTTTTATGAATATCAAGAAAATAAACAAAATAAAATTATTATTAAATAATAATTATCTTTATTTGTTATTTTTTTTAAAATGGAAATACTTTGATTCTAAAAAAATTTATCCTCTATTTAAATACTAGAATGCCATTACTGATAAAATTAATAATGTTTCTGAAAACGGACCTGCCGAAAATAAACGTGAAGAGCTTTTTGCTCGATTAGATAAGCTTCGTGGTAAACAAGCTGAAACTAAGAGAAATAGATCGAATATTTTTGAGCAACTTAAATCTATGAATGAGTCTTTGCAAAAAAAGGTATGTATTCATGGAAATTTTTTTTGATTTTAAATTTTATCTTGCGTTTTTTAAAATAAGAAGTTTTATCGTTTAGAAACGTGATTTGCAACAAAGTAAAAATAGCGTTCAATATAGATCTATTAAAGAAATCGACAATGCAATTGAGTAAGTAATAATATGTGTTTTAGTTATTTTTTATAATTGAGACTTTAATAATGATATTTATTTTATATTAGAAATTATGAAAGACAAATTGAGTCTGGTACTTTAAAAATTATTGATGAAAAGAAAATCATTGCGAATATATCAAATTTAAAAAAATCTAAAAAATCGGTAAAACTATTTGAAACTCAAAAAAATGCAATTGAAGAAGAACAAAAAAAAATAGATGAATTAAAGAAAACTCTTGATGATAGTGATTTTAAAAAAAATAATGAAGAATATGATGATGTTAAAGCGCAACTTGAAACAGTTAGTAAAGATTGTGATTTGAATCGAGAAAAACGTAACGAGTTATTTGACGAAAAAAAGAGATTAACCGCGCAAAAACGTGAAATTCAGGAACAATATAATAAATCTAAACAAGAATACAGAAAATATCAAGAAGAAGAAAATAAACGTCGTCAAGAGTTGAAAAGGAAGCAAGCTCAAGAACGTGAAAACCAATACAAAAAAGAAGTCATGGCTAGAAAACGAGAAGAAGCTGCTGTTCCTGCTTTTCAATTAGATATTCTTAATTGTGAAAATTTAATTAATTATTTTGAATCTCTTAATGGAGGAACTGGTAAATCCGCTCAACTACAGTCTTCTCCTACTGCACCAGTTGATAGTAATATCCGTCAACCCGATGCCACTAGTAATGTTCCTGAGGGTACTGTTCTTATGAAAAAATCTGATAGAGGTGACGATTATTTTATCGGTGGTGGTAAAAAACATAAAAAATCTCAAAAAGAAAAAAAATCTAGCAAAAGTAATGTTTTCCCACTTTCTTTTAGTATTATGGAACAATTGACTTCCCTTGATGTTGCTGTACCTCTTAATTCTTCTGAAATTGAACAAACTATTGAGAGTTTATTTCAAAAGAAAAAATATTTTATTGAAAATCAAGATCGTGTTACTAAAGAAAACATGGAAAAAGTTGAAGCTGAAATAGCTGCTATGGAAGAAAATGGGTTTGGCCATCATAAGAAAAAGGGTAATAATAATTACATTAATAATAATGAGAAAAAGGATAAGTCTGATGATAAAAATGAGGATGACTCTACTTTTTCCATCGCTAAAGATGAAGAAAAAGTTGAGGATGTTACTGAAAATGAAAAAAAAGAAGAGACTCCAGTTAAGGAGGAAGAAACTGATGCATCTTGGTAATCTTAATTAAACGTGGGATCAAATTTGATGGTTTAGAGCATATTTATTTACTGGCCTATTATTTGAACAATTTAGATTAAAATTTAATTATTTGTATTATTTGTTTAATGTATTATTTATTATTTTATTATTTAAGAATTCGTTTAACGGTTTATATATATATATATATAAAGAATAGATATACACTCGTATTTTTTCCGAGTAGAAGTAATTTTTTTTTAAAAAAGTTTTTATATAGTTTTTTTTTTCTAAAATAATAGACCTTAAAAATACAGTATTAATAAAAATAATTCAAAACTGATTATTGAAATTACATGTATAGATCATATTCATCTAACCAATAAAAAAGGTGCGTATAATCCTTATGAAGTTGCACTAAGATTGTCGTCTGCATCTCTTTCAGCTAACATTGCTTTCAAACCGTTTAATCTAGCTTGTAATTTCGGTACTTCAACAAGTTTTTGTTCTAAATGTTGTTTTTCCTCTTGAAGTTTTAAACGACGTTCCGCATCTAATTTAGTAAATACATATCCTCCTTGCCCATCATACTGAGAAAAAATAATGTAATTTTAATTATATATATTATTGAAATAAAATCATATTATAATAAATATTTAAGGACTTACTTGTAAAATATAATTATGATATTTCCATAATGATGGACGATGAGACACAGTCAATAAAGAAATTCCTAAATCTTTTATTTAAAGGGAATATATAGCGTTAGGTTTGGCTTCAAAATTTTATTAAATTGTAAAAATATTTTTTGCTTACCAGTAGCATGAGTATACATGATTTTTTCAATATCCAAACCTACAGCACTTGTACCTACAAAGATCAAATGAAATAAATTAATAATTCAAAAAGGAACAAGTAAATAATAATAAATAAAATAAAATAATATACATTCATCCAAAATTGCATATTTTGGTTGATGATAAAAGAGTCTAGCCATAGCAATCTGTAATCATAATTTCATAATGTTAATTAAAATAATTCGATTAATTTTATTTCAATTTACCTAACGTAAAGACACTTACTCTTTGTTTGTCTCCTCCTGATAAAGCATCTTTCCATTCGCGTTCCTTATCCCAACCTCCTTCACGCTCAACAATTGTATTTAAATGAACAATATTAAGAATATCTTGCAAATCTTGATCAGTTTTTCCTCCTGTTAAATAAACAAATCAATAAGAAAATTTAAACAATCAAACCGTTGCATTTTTCGTTTAAAAACTAGTCTCACACTTACGCTTTTTCATTTCTTCAACGGTATGTGGATAGATAATTCTAAAGAGACATATATTAATAAATTATTTTACAATCAAATAATTATAACTAATTACACTTACTGGTCTCGCAATGTGCCAAGTGATAAGTAAGGTCGTTGAGGGATATAAAAAATATCCTTTGGATTTGGTCTGTGAACGGTACCACCTAAAAAATTTCGATATTAATAAAAGTTAAATAATATTCGAAAATTTAAAATTTATTATGTAAAACTTTTATAGCTCACCATAAACAGGCCAAAGACCACCCAAGATTCTAAATAAACTACTTTTACCACACCCATTAGGTCCCACGATTAATAAGTGCATTCCCGGTTTCACATGGAATCTTAATGTTTTTAATAAGACATCACCATTCGGGGATACTATAGGTACATCAACAAATTTAATAATTTCACTTTCAATGACTTCTCCACGACCGGATAACACTGCGGCATTTTCCTCAGTTGAAGCCTCAGAGGCAAGTTGCTTTTCAAAACGACCTACTTTTACAGCATCAAAAGTATCCAATAATTCAGATACCTTTAGAAGTAATAAAATAAATATCAATATGGCGAAATTTAATAAAATATTAATGTAAAAAAATACTTACACGGGTCGTGTAGCCGGCCAACTCAGTAATTTCTTTATAAGAATACATGATGCGCCCAAAAGCATCTGAAGAGCTCAATAACAATCTACGATTGGTGATAAACCCTAAATAAATACCATTACGGTTATTAATAACAAGTAAAAGAAATTTTTGATGATAATAACTTACCTTCTGCACGAGAACCAAGATCACCTTTCTTTATTCCTGGCACTGTAAAGAATACAGGAACGGAGCAAAGAATCAATCCCATAGCACCCCACAAATATTTAATAATAAAATCTTCCATCATTCCGTGAAAAATACGCATACGGAAAATTCTATTAATATGTTTAATTAATGCAAAATAATTGCGATCTAAAATGGCCTTTTCAACTTCATGCCCAGAATATAGTGCAATTTCTTCTGCATTTTCAATCAAGCGTGAATGTGTAAATCTAAATTCTCCCTAAAAAATTAAAAAAAAAAAATAATTAAATACTCTAAATATTTTCATTATAATAATAAATAAGCAAATACCTCAAGTTTTTGTTCTTCCGCAACCATCTTTCCGAACGGTGGAGTTAATGTTCGCAATATTACAGAGGATATATGTACCATAAATGATAATGCAAATAATCCCTCTCCTCCTACATTATTTGCCAATTGTATGTTATAAATGAAAACATCCAAGATTGGTTTCGCGAGATTAGAATATAATTCGGAAAGAGAGTTACAGAATTTCATCGTATCAACGGTAATACATCTTATATACAATTTTTAAAAGAGAAAAATCACATCAAGTTTGAGAAAGCGTAAAAAGAAATCAAGGAAAATAACTCATACTGGTCAGCATTTTTTATACGGTCATCCAAGTTTCCAATAGCATAAAAGGTCATATCGGACAAGTATTTTTTATGTATATGTTGGGTAAGACGAGTTCTAAATTGTATAGCCAATTTATTTTGCATGTATGTAAGCTAATAAGTAATAAGATAGTTAATTAAAAAATAATAAAAATAATAAATAATATTCGTTTGAGGGGCTTATATATTACCATGCTGTTTGTATATGTCGCTGGTATAGCAACAGTCATCCACCACACAATTCCTGTTAAGAAATCCTTTCCATTACCTCGTACCTAAAGGGCAAAATATTTTAAGTAAAAATAATTTATCATATATATAAAAATAAAATTATAAAGAAAGAAATCAATTATTACCAAAGCACTAACAATCCTTCCATCCAAAGCAGCAACATATACTGACAATATAGTCCGAAAAACTAAATTAAGAATATTAATACCTTTGCAGAGAAGTCATACAAATTATCAGAAATACATGTACTTTATTCACCTAAAAAGCCAGAATGGATAATCAACAACCATAACTCTTTTGACCTTATACCGGGAATGACAATTTTAAGTATTCTTTTTAATCTTTCAAAAAATATAGCATCTACCTATATTAAATACATCAGTATATAAATAAAAAATAAAGGTATCCATCTTAAGACTCTAACATTACCTCAACTCTCTTTTTCTGCCTTGCCACTTCCTCAGCGGTGGGTGCATTTCCTACTTCTGTACGTCTTTTTTTCCCCGAACTACTCTTTCGAAAATATAGAAGGTAAACAGTTACAAACCATATTGTTCTTCCAAGTACAGTTCTATTGTTTTGATATACCGCTAAAATTTGCACCACTAGCTTTCTAATTTGTGCAGCATTTTGCGAAGTACCAGAAGATGTAAAAAAATCGGTCAATTTTGATAGAACAGTAGGCATTTTCGTAAAAAATGCAGACGAGATTCGGGATTATCAAAATATAAGAATCTCCAAATCTTAATCTCGATCTATTGCTAAATTTGTTTAAGTACCGAAACTGACATCACGATCGACATTTTACTAAAGCAACATGGCAACATGTGATGTCAAAAATCTGCAAAAAATGACTTCCTCTTATGAACGACGTTTTAATAGTAGAATTCGCTCTCGCTCACCTAGAAGATCGAATGATAGCCGACGAAGCCTGCGTGGTTCAGCATATGCTGATGAGGAACAACGAGACCGACGATTATCAAAATCAAGGTCACGCTCACCACGAAAAAGATCTAGATCTCGTTCTCCTCTAAGAAAGAATTCTGGATCTAGAACAGCGCGTTCGCCCACTAAGAATATTTCTCATTCGATGAAATCGCCCAGAAGACATTCTAGGTCACGATCTCCATATAGAAGGCAAACGCAAACTTCACCTTCACGCTCACCTAGTCGACGCTCACCTAGACGACGTTCACCTTCACGCTCACCTAGTCGACGCTCACCTCGACGGCGTTCACATTCACGTTCACCTAGATGGCGCTCAAGGTCACGTTCACCTATAAGAGTGAGATCAAGATCACGTTCACCCATATCCCATTCACGAAGAGAGAGAGAACGTATAGACAAACGAACCAGAGTACGACCCATTAATCAGTCCCATTCTCCAAAAAAAGAAGAAATTGGAAATGATGGACCAAAACCGAACTTCGGATTATCTGGAAAACTTGCAGCAGAAACAAATTCTTACAACGGTGTTGTATTAAAATATTTTGAACCGCCAGAAGCTCGCAAACCAATAAAAAAATGGAGATTATATGTATTTAAAGGAGATAAAGAAATGGGTACGTTTATTAAAGCCTAGTTAGGACTGTATATTTAATCTAATTGATTTTTTATTATTGGATAAATTTAGATATTCTTCATATACATAGACAAAGTGCTTATTTATTTGGTCGGGAAAGAAAAGTGAGTGATAATTCTTTTTTATGAATTATTTTTTCAGTGAATTAATATTGACCTCTTGTTATAAAAAGGTAGCAGACATTCCAATCGATCACCCAAGTTGCTCTTCTCAACACGCTGTATTACAATTTAGACAAGTAACTTCGACTAATGATGAAACTGGAGAGAAGATTTCTGAAATCAAACCATATATAATAGATCTTGATTCAACGAATAAGACATTTGTCAATAATAATGTAATTCCTCCTTCAAGATATTATGAATTAAAAGCATCTGATACTATAAAATTTGGTTTTAGTACACGCGACTACGTTTTAATTCATGATGAATTAGATGATGAAAAGCTTGAATAATTTCTTTTTAACGCGTTTTAGATTGTCTAGTTCCAGCATTAAATGGGGTACGTTTTGTTATTAATTATTCGAAAATAAATAAATAATGCTTATAAAGAGAATTTTTTTTTTATTTTCAAAATTATAATATAGCTGAACTAAATTAATACTTGAAATTAATGAATGTTCATATTTTACATTTAAATCATTTTATAATAAAAGAATGAACTATTATTTTCTTTGAAATTCTAAGAATAATTTTTTACAAAAATATCGATTAAATTAAATTAGTCTTTTTTTTTAAGTTCATCACTTCTTGTTAAATGTGAATTATTTTTAACTTCTATCATTATTTGATTCGCCTTGTCTTAGATCTTCACCTCCTGAGCCACTTGCATTTCCGCCATCATCAATGCTCTTTTCATTAATTGTTTCGCTTTCAACTTTTTCATCATCATTCATATATTTATCCATATAAGAATTTTCAAATACTACTTGTGTAGTCTCTTCCTCTTCACCAGAACTATCACCAAATGCATCAAATAATTCTCTTGAAGTCATATATTGTTTGTTGCCACTGGTTAATGGAATAGAATCTTCACCTGAGTTCGTAGCTTCTGAAGATTGTAACACAGAGTAACTTTGTCGTGAAAATAATTTTTTATCCCAATAATGTTTTTTTGCAAAATAGGCTAATCCAGCAAACATAAAAGCAAATCCCATTCCAATAATCGCTATAACCCAAGTATTTGGTTTAGAAGATTTGTGCTCAATATCTACCTTACTGGACGAATTTCCCGCATCATGAGTCGTAGTGCTCTTAGGAGAATCTGTGGTTGTAGCACCTGATGATGCGGGGTTTGTAATTTTTTCGCTATCATCAGTATTTGTGGCTGGCGTCTCGGTAAGATTCTTTTGTTCGCCCCAAAACTTAATTTTCCAGTCTATTAAAGTTCCCCAAAATTCAGGATTTTGAGTGTCTCTAACTTGAACTGTCCATTTACCAATTGGATTTTCATCCCTAAATTTAAATATATATATATATATAAAAAAGAAAATATTAAAACATGAAATTACTTTAAACAATGCTTACCAATGTTTAACGCTCATAAAGGTCCAATTGCTTAAACCACCTCGATGTTCATCATACATTCTTGGAGTCCCAAGATGTGATATTATACCATTAGGACTAGTCAAATCAACTTGTATGTCACCTCTTCGAGTATGTTGGATATTGACCGTAACTGTGACATGTTCCAATCTTCCGAATTTGGCACCATCAAGATCACTTTGTTTTACTTGTACACTACGAATAACTCCTTTAGTATTCATAGGTATTTGTTTATTCACTCTAACAATTGGCATTTCCAACGATGCTTGAGGTCCGAGATTTTTAAATGTTTTAGCATTTTGGACAATTCTATACGCATCTAATAATCCATAACCATATTTATGACTAAATAAACGACCAGCTGCATTACGATCCCACTCAGGTTCTTTCAAATTGAAAGGTACGGCACTTATGAGTTGCAAGTATTGCATATCTCTCCATGTAAGGTCCGGTCTTAATAAAGATGATTCCAGGTAAGTAAATCGAATTAACAGCAATTCAAACAAACGTATTAAATAATCTTAAGTTGAGTTTAAACCTCATGGATTATGATTTTTTTTTCGATCATTATCCATAATTTAGGATTGTCGATTAATCCTTCAGTTATTCAAAAAAAAAAAAAAAAATTCAAATTATACAGCTATAAATTAATTTTACCTGATCTGTAAGACAAGAGCATAAACTCCGGCCGCAATGGGGGCAGCAGCTGAGGTACCTCCGTGCAAACTGGAACAATTATGTGGTCCGACGTCAGTAGTGTACTAAAAGATAAAATATTAAGCAATGTAATGTATTGAATCACAATAAATGAAAAATAAATAAATAAATAAATAAATAAATGTATTTTACAATATAACTCCCGCTTCCGCTACTAAAAGTTGTAACTAAAAGTGCAGAACACTTTTCTGCATAGTAAGGATGTGCAAACAAACGGTCAACTGCACCAACAGTAATAGTGTACATGCTATTTGTATATCCGTCAAAATTGCAATTATCATCATTGGCACCTCCATTGCCTGAAGCGAATACAAACAGACTGCCTTTTCCTCCACGCCCGTCCTTTATGCCTTTGAGCATAGCTTTGTAGATAAGCCCCTTTGGGGCTTCAGCTGATTGACCATCATCAGGTGGCCCCCAACTACATGAATAAATTTGATTTTCTTGAAATCCATAGTTGAGTGCTTCTGCTTCATCAACATCAGAAATTTCTCCCGATAATATACGGATACCTTATGTAATAAGTAAAAATCCACTTAGTATATATTGATTAATTTACACGCTAAATTTAACAAATTCATTACCTGCAATCTTAGCATCTGGTGCAACTCCTACGCCACATACATCATTTTTTACGGCTGCAATTTCACCGGCACATCTAGTTCCGTGATTATCATCAGAGAGTCGAGGTTTCGGTAACGGGGTATGATCATTAAAATCATAAGATCCCGCTGCAAACTATAAACCATAAATCACAAAATTTTGATATAAGAAACATAATCTTAATAAATATAAAATATTATTGTAATCCACATACAAAATTATCCTTCAAATCTTCACTTTCATAATCCAAACCATCATCGACTATAGCGGCTATTACACCTTTACCAGTTATACCTTAAATTTATAAAATGATTGAATTAATATATATAATTATAAAATGAAACTGAAACCAAGTTTTATTTATATTACCTTCTTTCCATACACCTGTAACGTTAATATGATGATCAACTTGTAATGCATTAACCTAGTATTTGAATAGACCATCGCAAAAGAAATAGGACAAAAAATTATAAAAATTATAAAAATTGATATAACTGAAAAATCGATAAATTAAAACCAACCAAATGCCATTGATATTTAAATCCTGGATCGTTAATTCCATAGGCAGCACCGATATCATCTTGATTATTATTCTTATTTTTTGGTTTAGGAATTGGCGGGGGAACTCTCTTATGTCGTTTTCTCAATTGTTGTTTTTCGACAGAAAGTATGCTATCAATTATTTCATTTGACCTTTTTTCTAATGAAGGATTTTGTTGTCTCCTTTCTTTAAGTGAACGAAACTCTAATAAGACACGATCATTACTTTCACCACTTAAATCAAAATTTGAATCAAGAGATCGAGTAACTAGATGTGTCATTTCTTTTGAAGAACTGAACAAATGATGGTTGTCTAATGCTCCTATTTGACCGTCATATCTAATATTAAGTAAATCGGCTACTTCTCTAGGTGAAATTTGTGAATTTTCTTCAAGTTCTATGGCATAATAATAGTTTTTTTGATAATCTCGTTTTTTTAGTCTAGATGCTTCAAATTGACCAAATAGTAATATGAAGATCGTTATAAATAATAATGAGCGAAGAAATGTTTTTATTGATAATAATTCCATTTTTTAATTTACTCTAAATTTTTATTGTAGCTTGTAATCGTTATAAATAAATATCTTTAAAACATTCGCAAACATTGTCCGTGTCGAAATTTCATTTGATTATTCGTTTTAAGCAAGCCACTTATTTGTAAGATAAATATTAGTACAAAAGTATAAAGATAACCTTGCCACAATCAAAAAAAAAAAAACCTTGCCACTTGAACAACCTGAATAACAAGTTATTACCCAAATTAGTAAATAACATAATAACATACTTGTTGTTCTTCAATGAAATATACCAAGTTAGAACTTATTATAACCATTTAATTTTTTATTTTTTTTCTTTTTTTGCAAGGTAGTAAGGTAGTGCAATTTGTGAGATTATAACCATTTTAATTGACCAATCAATTCGATATATCTTTTTATTTAATAACTGATTAAATTATTACCGTATATTATGGGCCCTCTATGTATAGTATCCATCCCATCCTTTTTTATGTGAAAAAATTACTTTTTTTTTATTTGATTTTATTATTTAGAGAATCAAATCTGATTATTAATGTACTATATATGCAGGGACGAATAAATTCTGCATTAATTATGTGAAATTCTGTGATTTGGCCAGAATTATGCAAGGTCGGCCAACATTACGATTTACAAATTCTAGCCAACTAAATCCTAAATCAGAAGAAATTATCATCATTTTTATAACCCTATTCTGTAATTCTGTGAAATACAAAAAATCATATTATGGCCTGCAATATATGATATATTATTATTTCTTTAAAAACTAAAAAGTTTATTTCTTTTAATATATAATTAATATTTATTTTATAATTTTTGAAAAATTTAGTAAAAGTATTGTAAATTAATTTTAATTTTATAAAAATAAAAACTAATGTTACTATTATTACAGTTAACTTTCTTTAATTATAATATATTTGGAATACTAAGAAATTTTTGTATACAGTCAACTCTCTTTATGGTCACACATTTGGGACAGTCCATATTTAGTGATTATAAAGAGATGTGACTATATAAAAAATTTCTTATATTAGTATATCATAATTCCGGCCAAAAATTAACATAATTTTAGCCAAAATTATACTCAGACCTTTATTTTATTGTAACTCCGCCAATATTAATCGTAGAGAGATGATCTTACCGCCATTCGATTCGTCTTGATGAGACGGTTCTAATGGTATAAAATACATCGAATTCTAATCACTAGATTAATTTCTGAAATTAAAAAAATATTAATGGTTTTTGTGTAATAACTCTGCCAATATTGATCCTAGAGAGGCGATCTTACCGCCATTCGATTCGTCTTGATGAGACGGTTCTAATGGTATAAAATACATCGAAATTCAATCACTAGATTAATTTCTGAAATTAAAAAATATTAAATGGTTTTTAAGCAATAACTCCGTCAATATTGATTACAGAGAGATGAGCTTACCACCTTTCGATTTGTCTCGATGAGGCGATTCCAACGAGATACAAATCGTCTTTTTACAATCACTAGGTACTGAGAAATCTAGCAAAATGTTAAATGGCGCAGTAAACGTAAATCAAGAAATATTATAATGCCGATGTTTAACATTTTGTTGAATAACTCGTCAGCCAGTGATCGGAAAAGGATAAAACTACCACCATTCGATTCGTCTCAGTGAGACGATTCTAACAAGCTATGATACATCTTTGTACGATTATTAGATGCCAAGTTATTTAATATATTCTTTATATAACTGTGATTATAAACGGTTCTTTTTAATATAAGATTTTTGAGGATAGGTGTGATAGTGACTATAGATAGATTGTGACTATATAGGATAGTTTTTAATAATAAAGTGTTTTGAACATTCAACTGGTGTGACTATATAGTAGAATGTGACTATAACGAGAGTGACTATAGAGGGAGTTGACTGTATATAAACATAATTTTTATTACATTTTAATAATAAATAAATCATATTAAATATACAAAAATAGGATTATTATAATTTTTTAATATATTATAAAAAGATTATTAAAATTAAATGATAATTAAGACAAATATTTTTATTATAGAAACCTATCCCTTAAATAATAAGAAAATTGTGTGCAAATTTACAATGTTATCTACAGTTGTATAAAGAAATCGGTCGTAATTTTCAACATTGTTTAATTAATTATATACGCAAAATTGCAATAATTAACTTAGAATTTTTTTTTATTTTTGCATAGAAAACATTATGAATATTATATTAAAAATATTATTTTATTATTTAAATCATTTTTTTGTATAGTTACCTTATAGATAAATTTTTGCATTTGTAAAAATTGGCAAAATTTATAAAACTTTACAGAGTTAATCACATCATGTTTCTCATTTATATATCCTAGAAGTCTGAAATTTACATATATTACATATTCCATCTCGCTTTACAACTTTTATTAAGCTTTAAAAGAAGGTTTAGAAGGCTAATTTAGGCTTTACATATAGATAAAAAGTTGGCAACAGTTAAATTATTAAAAAAAATTGTATGCAAATTTGCACCCAATTTTCAACATTGTTTAATTAATTATATATGCAAAATTCCAATAATTAATCTAGATTTTTTTTATTTTTGCATAGAAAACATCATAAAATTTATATTAAAAATATTACTTTTTCATATAAATCATTTTTTGGAATAGTTATCTTATAAATGAGTTTTTGCATTTCATTGTAAAAATTGGTAAAATTAATGAAATTTTACAGAGTTAATCGTATTGCGTTTCTCATCTATATATTTTAAAAGTCTGAATTTTACATACAGTCACCCCTCTCTACAGCGAACCTCGATATAGCGAATAACATGATATAACGGATCATACAGTGTGGTACCGATTTTAAATATGAAAAAAACCTTGATATAACGAAGTTTACTATTTATTTACCGTATAACATAGTACGAAGTAAAGTGTGTGAATTTCTTATATAAAAATGCCTCTCGATATAACGGATTTTTTTATAACGAATTTTTTTCAGTTATAACGAAGAATTTCTTTATAATTAAATGTAATTATTAATAAATATTGATGCATTATGACATTAAATATCACCCCTGTGTTTTATATTTAAATTATGGATCAGGATTGTATCAGGATCGTATCAGGATTAATAATTCTGGCTATTTTATTTAATATTTAGGCAGAATTACATTAATTTACATTAATTCGGTTGTATTAGGATTCAATGTGAATTGTTATTAATTTATATTTATCACAGGGGTAAGGACACTCCTAGTTAAATTAATATATCATTAATAATTTATTTATTATATAGTCAGTTATTGTTAAACAGCATTCCTACAAAAAAAAGGA